GATCTGTAGTAATGTATGACAGGTCTGTAGTAATGTATGATAGATCTGTAATAATGTATGATAGGTCTGTAGTAATGTGTGATAGATCTGTAGTAATGGATGATGATCTGTAGTAATGTATGATAGATCTGTAGTATTGTATGACAGGTCTATAGTAATGTATGATAGATCTGTAGTAATGTATGATAGGTCTGTAGTAATGTATGATAGATTTGTAGTAATGTATGGCAGGTCTCTAGTAATGTATGGCAGTATGATGATCTATAGTAAGGTATGATAGATCTGTAGTAATGTATGATAGATCTGTAGTAATGTATGACAGTATGATGATCTATAGTAATGTATGATAGATTTGCAGTAATGTATGATACATCTGTAGTAATGTATGATAGATATGTAGTAATGTATGACAGTATGATGATCTATAGTAATGTATGATAGATTTGTAAAATGTAAGATAGATCTGTAGTAATGTATGACAACATGATGATCTATAATAATGTATGATAGGTCTGTAGTAATGTATGAGAGTATGATGATCTATAGTAATGTATGATAGATATGGTCTGTAGTAATGTATGACAGTATGATGATCTATAGTAATGTATGATAGATTTATAGTAATGTATGATAGTATGATGATCTATAGTAATGTATGATAGATCTGTAGTAATGTATGATAGATCTGTAGTAATGTATGATAGATCTGTAGTAATGTATGATAGATCTGTAGTAATGTATGACAGGTCTATAGTAATGTGTGACAGTATGATGATCTATAGAAATGTATAATAGATCTGTAGTAATGTATGATAGATCTGTAGTAATGTTTGACAGGTCTATGGTAATGTGTGACAGTATGATGATCTATAGTAATGTATAATAGGTGTGTAGTAATGCATGATAGATCTGTAGTAATGTAGGATAGATCTGTAGTAATGTATGATAGATCTGTAGTAATGCATGATAGATCTGTAGTAATGTAGGATAGATCTGTAGTAATGTATGATAGATCTGTAGTAATGCATGATAGATCTGTAGTAATGTATGATGATCTGTAGTAATGTATGATAGATCTGTAGTAATGTTTGACAGGTCTATAGTAATGTATGACAGGTCTATAGTAATGTATGATAGATCTGTAGTAATGTATGATAGGTCTATAGTAATGTATGATAGATCTGTATTAATGTATGACAGTATGATAGATCTGTAGTAATGTATGATAGGTCTGTAGTAATGTATGACAGTATGATAGATCTGTAGTAATGTTTGACAGGTCTATAGTAATGTGTGACAGTATGATGATCTATAGTAATGTGTGACAGTATGATGATCTATAGTAATGTATAATAGGTCTGTAGTAATGCATGATAGATCTGTAGTAATGTATGATAGATCTGTAGTAATGTTTGATAGATCTGTAGTAATGTATGATAGATCTGTAGTAATGTATGATAGATCTGTAGTAATGTATGATAGATCTGTAGTAATGTATGATAGATCTGTAGTAATGTATGACAGGTCTGTAGTAATGTATGATAGATCTGTAGTAATGTATGATAGATCTGTAGTAATGTATGTCTGTAGTAATGTATGATATAGATCTGTAGTAATGTAGATGATATCTGTAGTAATGTATGATAGATCTGTAGTATTGTATGACAGGTCTATAGTAATGTATGATAGATAGTCTGTAGTAATGTATGATAGATCTGTAGTAATGTATGATAGATCTGTAGTAATGTATGATGTATGATCTATAGTATCTGTAGTAATGTATGATAGATCTGTAGTAATGTATGATAGATCTGTAGTAATGTATGATAGATCTGTAGTAATGTATGATAGATCTGTAGTAATGTATGATAGATCTGTAGTAATGTATGATAGATCTGTAGTAATGTATGATAGATCTGTAGTAATGTATGACAGTATGATGATCTATAGTAATGTATGATAGGTCTGTAGTAATGTATGATAGATCTGTAGTAATGTATGATAGATCTGTAGTAATGTATGTACATGAGATCTGTAGTAATGTATGCAGTTTATGATAATCTATATAGTAAGTATGATGATTTATCTGTAGTAATGTATGATAGATCTGTAGTAATGTGTGATAGATCTGTAGTAATGTATGATGATCTGTAGTAATGTATGATAGATCTGTAGTAATGTATGACAGGTCTTTAGTAATGTATGATAGTATGATTCTAGTAATGTATGATAGATCTGTAGTAATGTATGATAGATCTTGTAGTAATGTATGACAGGTCTATAGTAATGTATGACAGTATGATGATCTATAGTAATGTATGATAGGTCTGTAGTAATGTATGTATAGATCTGTAGTAATGTATGATAGATCTGTAGTAATGTATAGACAGTAATGTATGATGATCTGTAGTAATGTTTGATAGGTCTGTAGTAATGTATGATAGATCTCTGTAGTAATGTAGTCTGGCAGTCTGTATGATGATGATAGATCTGTAGTAATGTATGATAGATCTGTAGTAATGTATGATAGATCTGTAGTAATGTATGATAGGTCTGTAGTAATGTATGATAGATATAGTAATGTATGGTATGAGGTCTCTGTAGTAATGTATGATAGATCTGTAGTAATGTATGATCTGTAGTAATGATATCTAGATCTGTAGTATGACAGTTTGATCTAGATCTGATCTGTAGTAATGTATGATAGATCTGTAGTAATGTATGATAGATCTGTAGTAATGTATGATAGATCTGTAGTAATGTATGATAGATCTGTAGTAATGTATGATAGATCTGTAGTAATGTATGACAGTATGATGATCTATAGTAATGTATGATAGATCTGTAGTAATGTATGATAGATCTGTAGTAATGTATGATAGATCTGTAGTAATGTATGATAGATCTGTAGTAATGTATGATAGATCTGTAGTAATGTATGATAGATCTGTAGTAATGTATGATAGATCTGTAGTAATGTATGATAGATCTGTAGTAATGTATGATAGATCTGTAGTAATGTTTGATAGATCTGTAGTAATGTATGATAGATCTGTAGTAATGTATGACAGGTCTGTAGTAATGTATGATAGTTCTGTAATAATGTATGATAGGTCTGTAGTAATGTATGATAGATCTGTAGTAATGTATGACAGGTCTGTAGTAATGTATAGCAGTATGATGATCTATAGTAAGATATGATTTATCTGTAGTAATGTATGATAGATCTGTAGTAATGTGTGATAGATCTGTAGTAATGTATGATGATCTGTAGTAATGTATGATAGATCTGTAGTAATGTATGACAGGTCTTTAGTAATGTATGATAGATCTTTAGTAATGTATGATAGGTCTGTAGTAATGTATGATAGATTTGTAGTATTGTAAGTATGTATGATAGATCTGTAGTAATGTATGGTATGACAGGGTATGTATGATAGATCTATAGTAATGTATGATAGGTCTGTAGTAATGTATGATAGATCTGTAGTAATGTATGATAGATCTGTAGTAATGTATGATGTCTGTAGTATGTATGATCTGTAGTAATGTTTGATAGTATGATTCTGTAGTAATGTATGATAGGTCTGTAGTAATGTATGACAATATGATATAGTAAGTATGTATGATATGATCTCTGTAGTAATGTAATGTATGAGTAGTATAGATCTGATGTTGTAGTAAAATGTAAGATAGGTCTGTAGTAATGTATGACAGTATGATGATCTATAGTAATGTATGATAGGTCTGTAGTAATGTATGATAGATCTGTAGTAATGTATGATAGATCTGTAGTAATGTATGACAGTATGATGATCTGTAGTAATGTTTGATAGGTTTGTAGAAATGTATGATAGGTCTGTAGTAATGTATGATAGGTCTGTAGTAATGTATGAATGGTCTGTAGTGATGTGTGATAGGTCTGTAGTGATGTAGGATAGGTCTCTAGTGATGTATGATAGGTCTCTAGTGATGTATGATAGGTCTGTAGTGATGTATGATAGGTCTTTAGTAATGTATTGTTGATCTATAGTAATGTATGGTAGGTCTATAGTAATGTATATGAGGTCTAAAATAATGTATGACAAGTGTGTAGGGATGTGTGATAAGTATGTAGTGATGTATGATAATACCTGATAATAGGTCTTTAGCAATTTGTAATAATTCATTGGGAGATTACAGGCAGCAGAAGAAGATTGAGCGACAGTATTGCATTGTACAGGCTAGCTTGTTTTCTCTCATACACATTCTAGCCACTACAAGAATTCAAAACCTGGTTTACATGATCAGGATGACCCTTACCTCACTGCTCGTTCCTGCACTTTCTGCCTTTCTAACCCCAACTGGAGCATGGACCCTGAACCAACTCAAGCTAAGTCGTTCTATCCTTCGCTATCACATGCAGCTCTCCCCATATCTTCACTCTCCAGTTAATAAATGTTTGTAGTTTATTAATAATTGCCTTAGTTGTTCTCCATGTTTCCCCTCTATACAACATTACTGATTTGACACTAGAATTAAAAATTTTGAGTTTAGTATACATTTTAGATTAGACGCTCGACCCGGATCGGAAGGTCGTGGGTTCTTTCTCTAGTGGAGCCGGTCTTTATTCATAAATGACCTTGGCTCCCAGGTCGACCCAGCCTTGAGTGGGTACCGGGTGCAGTCCCGGAAAGTAAAGGCAGCCGGCGTGATGCTGACCACATCACCCATCTGTGCCGATTGGTCTTTAAAAATATAGGTCTAGCCCCCTATGTCTAAAAGGCGTGGAAAAGAGTCCTTACTTTTTTTTTTTTTTACTTTTATTAATTTCAATTTCCTTTGACCGCCACAAATTCCCTAGTGCTCTGAAAACTCCTCTTGCCTTTTGTATTAGTATTTTAATATCTCTATCAGTTCCCCGCATCTTTATCTACATTACTGCCCAAATAGGTGTACGACTCCCCATTCTTTCACCTACAGTATGAGAAAGTATAATTGAAATCATTTTTACTTTTCAGAGCCCTAAGTATGATCTACCAGTATCTGGCCAGACGTGTGGATGATCATATTTCTGTGTACCTGTCCTACCTAGAGATTTATCAGGAGGTTGCTTACGACTTACTCAACCCAACATCCCGGCCTCCTGTTCCCATACCTCCATTTGCAAAGGTGAGCTTTGTATGCAGACATTGGATTATATATGCAGTGGATCTACAGGATACAAATTCAGTCTGTTCTATGACTGAGCTTGGAAGGTGAACTCGTATCCTAAAACTATTTTCCCAGTAAAAATTCTTCTTCTTCTTCGCGTTCACCAGCTGTACACACTGGCGGAAAGTTGTGGTTGTTCGTTCACTTCTGAACTGCATTCCTGGTCCAGAACCTGAATGTTGCATGTGCATCATTTTTACAGATTTGATTCACTTAAATGCAGACTGTTGGTTCATTGCTTCTAAAGCAGACGCACTCTGACTTCAAAGAAAGCTCCCCAATTAGTCGACTCTTACGACATGCTTTTGGGTAGGCAGTGGGTCTATTCTTGTTTTCCCCCCACAATGGACCCCCAGAACCCACACGGGGACCAGTGAAAATTAATGCAGATAATTTTATTTTGATCCAACCCTCCAAAAATTACCTATAAGGTTAAAAAAAAAATTAATTAATTTTTCTTTGTTTTCATGGGAAATTGAAACATTGGAAGACAGAGAAGAACATGGATTGAAGAATTCACTGACATCTAATGACTGCTTAACATCACGGCATAACAAGCGACTGAGCGCGCCCTGGCTCGGCTGCCAGTCGTCTGGTGAACTGCAACGCCTAGCGGCATAAGCAGATATTGGGGGGAAAACAAGAAAAGAAAAGTTCATGAGGAAAATGTGGGGCACTACTTTGTTTTGTTCCTGCTGTGGAAGACGACTTCCAACTGTGATGCTACAGTCCAACCTTGTCAGCTGCGTTGTCCCCCCTTCTGCATTATTAACATGAGCTAATCGGTTTACAAGTTACTGAGATGTTGTTGGGTAACACTAACAGTTCTCATCTCTGCAACTTGCATCCTGGATTTTGCCTCATATTCTGGGGCCCCAAAAAAATGGCAAGCCTGACCAGGCATGACCAGAAAATACTACAGAAAATGACAGACCTTGTGGTGGTAGAAGGTGAAAGAATGGGCCTCAGTTTGAATAATTTAAAGGCAGAAGTAATAGTGGTATCAGAGAAAAGAATATTCCTAAATGTGTAATAAAAGTAAGTCAATGATGTTATTTTGGGACAAGTACAGAAATTGATGTATCTGGGCACAGTGATAACATCAGATGGTAGATGCATCACCAAAATAAGAAACAGAATAGGACAGGCAAAAACTGCATTTAATAAAATGAAGAACATCTTATGCAGTATATCTCTGTCATTGAAGGTAAGAAAAAGAATTCTTGCTTGCTACATACATCCAGTTTTGACATATGGCTGTAAGTCCTGGACAATCGGTAGGCAGGCCAAACAATTTCTTGAGGCCTCAGTGATGTGGTTTTACAGAAGAATGCTTAAAATTCCTCAGACAGCCAAAAAGAGCAACCAAGAGGTTTTGAAAAAGGTGGGAGGTGAAGACAACTTATCACAAACATTAGAAGGAGACAGTCATCATTTATTGGCCATGTTATGAGAAGAGGGAAAATGCAACATGTTGTGACCACTGGAAAGATCTGTGTAAGAAGCGATAGAGGAAGTCAAAGAGAGAAGATTCTTGATAGTCTTGTTGCATGGCATGGAGGTGTGTCAGCACACGAACTGATACATGCTGCAGGATATGGCAGATTATGGAGAGGAATGATCACCTACGCCAGTCGGCATGCACCTGATGATGATGATGATGACCAGGCATCCTAAAGAACTCTTCCAAGTACACTTATGTACTGAGATTCCATATACAGTCCTGTCTACACCTCTTAACGGATGGGAGACATAGCATACAACTGATTTACCAGCATTTTCTGAGCTTGAGCTTATTTCATCATCTCATAATCATCATCATCTTCTACTTCTATCATCATCATCATCATCATGATCATCATCATCATCATCATCATCATCATCAGGTTTGACATTTCAAAGACTGATGTTTCAAGTCTGATCATGTCACTGCACTGTCCACTGTTCTTAATTTCTTTCTTTCTTTCTTTCTTTCTTTCTTTCTTTCTTTCTTTCTTTCTTTCTTTCTTTCTTTCTTTCTTTCTTTCTTTCTTTCTTTCTTTCTTTCTTTCTTTCTTTCTTTCTTTCTTTCTTTCTTTCTTGCTTGCTTGCTTGCTTGCTTGCTTGCTTGCTTGCTTTCTTTCTTTCTTTCTTTCTTTCTTTCTTTCTTTCTTTCTTTCTTTCTTTCTTTCTTTCTTTCTTTCTTTCTTTCTTTCTTTCTTTCTTTTCTTTCTTTCTTTCTTTCTTTTCCTATTGCTTCATCCCTTCCTGCCTGTCTACTTTTTCACTCCTTTCCTCCCTCATTTCCTTTATTCATTTCTCCCCATTCATCCATTCAGATCGTAACAACCATCTTCCTTTCTTCCTTTATTCTTTCCTTCTTTTCTCTTCCATTGCTTTCTCCTTAATTCCTTCTCTTTTCATCTGTCTTAACTTAAGCATTCTCTGTTTACCAACTGTCCTATTTTGTGCCCAGAATATAACTGTCTGTGAAGGACCTCAGGAGTCACCACTGCTGAGGGGCCTCACCTTGCAGCCGGCAGCCAATGAAGAAATTGCCCAGATGCTCCTCCTGCAGGGCCAAGCCAACCGCAAGATTTCCGAAACACCCACCAATCAGCGGTCGTCACGTTCACACGCTGTGTTCACCGTCTATTTGCAAGCACGCAAACACGACTCGAAAGTCACGTTAAAGTTAGTTAACTCCTGCTGTTTTTTGTTACATTAAAGTTGGTTAACTCCTGCTGTTTTTTGTTACGTTAAAGTTGGTTAACTCCTGCTGTTTTTTTGTTACGTTAAAGTTGGTTAACTCCTGCTGTTTTTTGTTACGTTAAAGTTGGTTAACTCCTGCTGTTTTTGTTTTTTTTACATTAAAGTTAGTTAACTCCTGCTGTTTTTTGTTACGTTAAAGTTGGTTAACTCCTGCTGTTTTTTTTTTACATTAAAGTTAGTTAACTCTTGCTGTTTTTTGTTCCGTTAAAGTTGGTTAACTCCTGCTGTTTTTTTTTTTTACATTAAAGTTAGTTAACCCTTGCTGTTTTTTGTTACGTTAAAGTTGGTTAACTCCTGCTGTTTTTTTTTTTACATTAAAGTTAGTTAACTCTTGCTGTTTTTTGTTACGTTAAAGTTGGTTAACTCCTGCTGTTTTTTTTACATTAAAGTTAGTTAACTCTTGCTGTTTTTTGTTACGTTAAAGTTGGTTAACTCCTGCTGTTTTTTTTTTACATTAAAGTTAGTTAACTCTTGCTGTTTTTTGTTACGTTAAAGTTGGTTAGCTCCTGCTGTTTTTTTTTACATTAAAGTTAGTTAACTCTTGCTGTTTTTTTTATGTTAAAGTTAGTTAACTCTTGCTGTTTTGTGACATTAAAGTTAGTTAACTCTTGCTGTTTTTGTGTCTTAATATTAGTTAACTCTTGCTGTTTTATCTCAGTGTATTTCCATGTTTTTATCCAAGTGACCGTAATAAAAAGTAAAGGACCCTTCTCTACGCCTTTCAGGCATATTGGGTATTTAGGGCTAGACCTATGTTTTATAGACCAAACGGCGCTTGTTAGGTGATGTAGTCAACATCATACCGGCCACCTTTACTTCCCAGGACTGCACCTGGTACCCACTCAAGGCTGGGGCGACTAGGGAGCCGTCATTTTTTAAAAAAGTACGGCCCCTTCAGGATCCGAATCCACGACCTTCCGATCTGCAGGCGAGCATCTAGCCGCTAGACCATAGCGGCTCACATTTACAAATAGTGACTACAGATGGATCTTCATTTTCTTGGTTTCGTTAATAGTTATTAAGTGCGTTTGTGCAGCCGATAGGAGGCTCGCTTTCAAATCCAGTTGCAAGCGCGGCTGCAGCCACGGTCGGTGTTTGAAACGGGGCGGTTCCCGGGGTTCACCCAGCCTCTAGGAAATGGGTACAGGAGTGACACTCTGGGATAAACGGCGGAACGTCGCTGTGGTTACAGAGTTACGTGCGGACGGCGACACAGGCGGACAGTTTCTTATCAGCTGTCCTTACTGGTGGCAGAGCACTTATGGTTTATAACTGTGTGCAGTGACGCTGGTTCACATCTCCCGACTTTACCTTTTTACTAACTTGTCATATATTGAACAATGAAATTATTTACTTTAAATATGATTAGCCTGTCATATATTTTACCTTTGTATTATTTCACTCAGCAACCAAGAGGTATTGAAAGAGGCGGGAGCCCGAAGACAACTTATCACAGACATCAGCAAGAGACAGTCATCATTTTTTAGGCCATGTTATGAGAAGAGGAAACATGGAACATGTTGTGACCACTGGAAAGATCCGAGGAAGGAGGGATAGAGGAAGACAACGAGAGAAGATTCATGTTGCATGGCATGGAGGTGTGTCAGCACACGAGCTGATACATGCTGCAGGAAATTGCAGATTGTGGAGAGGTATGATCATCCACGCCATTCGGCAAGGCACCTGATGATGATGATGATGATTGTTTCACTGAGTGGAGTTAAGAACCAACAATACACCATGCACAACATTCCCATAAGGGCTCCATCCCACACTTCAGCAACCAGCAAAGAATTACAATGCTGATAGGACTTGTCTCACTATTTCTAACCCTTCTTTTCTCTCCCTTTTCTTCTCTTCATTTCTTCCTCCCATTTCTCCATTAATGGATGAAGATGACATTTCAAGGCATGCCCTGTGTAGTTCTGGTGATAATTCTTTTTATGTGCGAAATTAATAGGAAGTAAGGGTGAAAAAAAAAGAGATCAAGATGAACATACAAAAAAGTAGGAGAGGAAGAGTACAAGAAGAAGAACACAAGAAGAAGAATAACACAAGAAGAAGAACACAAGAAGGAGAAGAACACAAGAAGAAGAACACAAGAAGAAGAAGAACACAAGAAGAGCACAAGAAGAAGAAGAACACAAGAAGAACACAAGAAGAAGAAGAACACAAGAAGAACAGAAGAAGAAGAAGAACACAAGAAGTAGAAGAACACAAGAAGAAGAAGAACACAAGAAGAAGAACACAAGAGGAGGAAAACACAAGAAGAAGAACACAAAAAGAAGAAGAACACAAGAAGAAGAAGAACACAAGAAGAAGAAGAACACAAGAAGAAGAACACAAGAAGAAGAAGAACACAAAAAAGAGAAGAATAGAAGAAGAAGAACACAAGAAGAAGAACACAAGAAGAACACAAGAAGAAGAAGAACACAAGAAGAAGAAGAGCACAAGAAGAAGAAGAACACAAGAAGAACACAAGAAGAACACAAAAAGAAGAAGAACACAAGAAGAGCACAAGAAGAAGAACACAAGAAGGAGAAGAACACAAGAAGAAGAAGAAGAGCACAAGAAGAAGAACACATGAAGAAAAAGAACACAAGAAAATCACAAGAAGAAGAGCACAAGAAGAGGAACACAAGAAGAACACAATAAGAACACAAGAAGAAGAAGAACACAAGAAGAGGAACACAAGAAGAAGAAGAACACAAGAAGAAGAAGAACACATGAAGAAGAACACAAGAAGAAGAACACAAGAAGAAGAACACAAGAAGAAGAAGAACACAAGAAGAGCACAAGAAGAAGAAGAACAGAAGAAGAAGAAGAACACAAGAAGAAGAAGACACAAGAAGAGCACAAGAAGAAGAAGAACACAAAAAGAGGAAGAAGAAGAACATAACAAAAAGAAGAACAGGAGAAAAAAAGAAGAAAAAGAACACGAGAAGAAGAGATAAAGAAGAAGATAAGATGAAGCAGGAGAAGAAGAACACAAGACGAAGAACAGATGAAGCAGGAAAAGAACATAAGAAGAAAAAGAACACAAGCAAAAGAAGAACACAAAAAGAAGAAAAAGATGTTTCCTGTTGATATGGCAATTGACTGTTTAATGATTATTTCCTTGTGTCATCGCAGGTCAAAACTGCACCTTGTAGATTTAGCCGGCTCCGAGCGTGTCTCTAAAACTGGAGCTGACGGGCAGCAGCTGACCGAAGCCAAGTCTATCAATCTGTCGCTGCATCATCTGGAGTCAGTCATCATTGCACTGCAGTCAGATCGTGTCCTGATTGCAAATAGCCTTGCTGGAGAGGACAAGAGCATGGATGATAATCTGCCCACTCAGAGTCGAAGGTGGCGTCTGTAATGCTATTTGTTTGTATTTTAAATTAAATATCTCTACCTGTGGACCTTTTCTATGGGTTACAATTTGGGCCAGCTTTCCTGTAACTAGCATGTTGTAAAAGATGACTAATTAAAGGTGTGCTGAAATTGAATGTGTTGGACCAAAAGATGCAGATATTTCAGCCTAACTGTGAACCACAACAAAACTGGCTAACCATTTTTTTTTAAGAAATGCAGACGCATATGAAAAATGAAGTATCATATATTTGGAAAATTTTTCCCTTTATTTCCAGTATGAATTTTTACTGTGCTGTTTTGTTTGGTTAGCCCTAGACCAAGCTGTTCAGCACAGTTCACTCTGGGGTTAGAATTTTAAAAAGAGATATCGTCGTTTGCCATAGACCACGGCCCCAGTAGAAGTATCAGTAATCCAGTACAGCTGAAAAATGATTCACGGGCCACTCGCTAGGCCTCCTTGGGCCATATCTGGCCCAGTGAGCCACCAGTTGAATTGCCATGCCTTAGATCAGTGATTCCAAAATGTTGCGCCGCAGGGCCCAGGGAAGCCGTGTCCTCTTTGCAGGGGCGCCACGAAATGTTCAAAGATACACGAGTCGTCTTTTTTTTTAATTTTAATCTCTTACATACGAATAGTCGCACTTTTACTTAGATCAAAGCGCCGTAGAAAAATTGTTAATGAAAAAGGGCGCTCCGACTAAGAAAGGTTTGGGAAACACTGTCTTAGAAATTCAAATTTGTTTTTTTCTTCATGAAAACAAATGATTACATTTCATATGAAAGCGGTGGTCGGAAATTTGGTTTGAGGTTTTGAACAACAGATCAACTTCATGGCACACAGGTAGTAACCCATAAGTGCTCCTCAAGTCTGAGTCTAAAGAAGCTGCAGCACAGTGCACAGGCTCTGTAGCACCGTCAAAGATCCTGAAGTACTTTAGGTAGATTTGTAACCACATTTTGCCCGGGCAGCGCCGTTCGGTTACTCTTTTCAATTTCCAACTGCCAAGGGATTTTTTACATGCGCAACAATGCACAAATGCACACATTTGTCTGATATCACTACCCAGAGACCAGGGAAATTACTAGAAGTCCAAGTCCATGTGAAATAATCCCAACCCTTACCGGGATTGAACCTGGAAACCTCTAGCACTCGAGGTGGACACCATGCCTTGAGACCACACAGCCGCATTTAGAAATTTGGTACCTAAACCTTTCGCAGCAAGAAGCCTAAATGTAGTCACTTCCAGTTGTACCTTGTCCCCATAAATGCTTATATACGGTCATGTCTGCAGTGAACTGTTTGTGAAAAGCATAAACTTTCATTGGTCCCGTGTGTGCCCGTGCAATGTTTCAAATGCCAGGATAGTAGTATAGGAAAGTAAAGGTACCTTTTCCACACGTTTAGGCGTATAGGGCATATAGGTCTAAACCTATATTTTTTATAGACCAATCGGCACAAGATGGGTGATGTGGTCAGCATCATAGTTCCAGACAGCGAAGGCTGAGAAGAAGAATGCATATTCCTGAATGCAGAAGCTCACAAACACCGGCACAAAGCTATCTATGCGTGGACCTATGACTCCCGGGGGGAGGGGAGAGGAGGCTACTCACTTCTTCTTCTTTATGTCCTCTTTTACCACTTAATTTGTTGAGGGAGATATAAGGTCCTGCTTCGTGCTTTTCTGGCTGCTTCGATAAAAGACACATCGTGGTACTGTAGTGTTTCTCTGATGTTATCCTTCCATCTTGTTTTTGGTCTGCATCTTGCTCTACGTTCCTCTCCTCTTTTGGTATATGCCTTGAATGGTATAGCATCAGAAGGCATTCTCTCCAAGTGAGCAAAATATTTGATGTGTTGTCTTTGTATGTAATTTAGAATTGGTTCTGTGCCGACTTTATCTCCGATGACATCATTCCTGATTTTATCTCCTCTTCTGGTCACTCCTACAGTCTTTTTCGGACACATCATTTCCATGGTTACTAATTTCCTTTTATGTTTTGTTGTGAGTGACAACATCTGGCAAAAGTAGCATAGAATAGGAATCAGTATGTTTTGTATGAGATGTCTTTTTGTGCTGATTGGGTTTGCCTTATGCTGTAAGAGGGGGGGGGGGAGGGGGGGAGGGGGGGGGGGGAGGTAGCTGTCCCAATACTACTCACACATGATCTTATTTGATTCTGTCCCAGTGTTGTTTCAGTAACATCAGGCCCTTCCAGTGATGGTGGCAGGCCATGTCGGTTTGTGCCCTATAGGAACTCTCTTCTGACTATGCTGCTGAAAGATTCACTAGGTAAGGTTGCTTACGTTATTTTATGTGTTATTGTCCAGATGAGCCTGTCATGTTATTTTATGTGTTATTGTCCAGATGAGCCTGTCATGTTATTTTATGTGTTTTTGTCCAGATGAGCCTGTCATGTTATTTTATGTGTTATTCTCCAGATGAGCCTGTCATGTTATTTTATGTGCTATTGTCCAGATGAGCCTGTCATGTTGTTTTATGTGGTATTGTGTAGGTAAGCCGGTTGTGTTTTTTTGTGTGTTATTGTCTAGGTGAGATTATCGTGTTTTTTATATATGATTGTCTAGATGAGACTGTCTTGTTATTCAAAATGTGATTGTCTATGTGAGACTGTAGTGTTATTTTGTGTCTAATTGTCTCTGTGAGACTGTCATGTTATTCTAAGTGTTATTGTCTAGTTGATAATATCGTGTTATTTTATTTTGAGTTGAGTTGAGTCAAAAACTGACATCACTGCACTCGGTGCATTCCCATGCGTGTTCTGTTCTTATCTTCAGCAGCCAGCGCGGAGTTCCAATACTGATGGTACCAGTCTGCATCTGGTTATATGTCTGTCTTGCCTTTCCTTTGAGTGTAGTGAGCTGGCCAGACCCTCTGGTGACACCCAGGTGCCTCATTCTCTCCAGGCCATATTAATCTTGTTTCTGTACTAATTCCATTGCTTGTTTTCAAAGAGCCTTGACTTCATCAGCGACGTCCGTGGCTGGGGCGTTGCGAGTCCGACTCGTAATCCAACCTACCACGATCAAAACCTACTGCATGGATTTTTATCATGGTATAGGGCGTCGCAGGTCGACCCAGCCTAAAATGGGTACCAGGATGGCTGTCCTGGGGAAGTAAAGACGGCCTGCGTAATGCTGACCACATTACCCATCTAGTGCCGATAAATCTGTAAAAAATATGGGACGCGTTTCTCATATACCCGATGCGCCTAAGGCGGGAAAAGGGATCTATGTTCTTTTCTTTCTTTCTTGTCCACATCTGCCTTGTCGTGTATCGATTTACCGCCCAGTGGTGCAGATCCAGCTAATCTGTCTCTCTGTTCATTACCTACTACGCCGGCAAAGCCTGGAGAAAAGATCCAAAGTATACTCACTACATGTGACCTTCTCAGTGAAGCTTGCCACTCTGCTCGAAGCATCCATGTCTTCACCTTTCTCAGCATGCCTTCAGTGTCTATTACATTTACGACGGGTGTATGCTCCTTGTTCACTAGCCACCGGAGAGCTGCAGTTACTGCCTCCATCTCCATTCTTATGCTGGATGTTATTTTAAATGTGATTGTCTAGGTGAGACTGTCTTGATATTTTTATATGTGATTGTCTAGATGAGACTGTCTTGATAATTTTATATGTGATTGTCTAGATGAGACTGTCTTGATTATTTTATATGTGATTGTCTAGATGAGACTGTCTTGATAATTTTATATGTGATTGTCTAGGTGAGACTGTCATGTTTTTTTATATATGTGATTGTCTAGCTAAGACTGTCATGTTTTTTTTATATGTGATTGTCTAGATGAGACTGTCTTGATAATTTTTTATGTGATTGTCTAGGTGAGACTTTCCTCTTTTATTTTGTGTTTGTTATTCTCGACATCAGGCTGTTTGTGTTACTTTAATTGTATGGTAAGGCTATTTTTTAAATTTTATGTTAGAGTCTAGATGAGGCTGTTTATATCATTGTATGTGCTAATTTGGTTGTTGATGCTAACTGTTGCACTTCTAGTGAGCTGTATGGTACAGCAAAGAATAGGATGACTTGACTAAGTCGGGTGAGGGGTAAAACTCAAAAGAAGAAAGAATCGCTCACTCTAAATGTATTACAATTGTTGCTGTAAGTTGACTGCATATGTTGCTGTAAGTTGATTTACTTTGTTGCTGTAAGTTGATTGCATATGTTGCTATAAGTTGATTGCATATGTTCTATAAATTGATTACATATGTTTCTGTAAGTTGATTACACATTTGCTGTAAGTTGAAAACCATGATGATCTAAGTTGAATACCTATGTTGCTTAAGCTGATTACATATGTTGCTGTAAGATGATTGCATATGTTGCTGTAAGTTGATTGCATATGTTGCTGTAAGTTGATTACCTATGTTGCTGTAAGGTGCTTACCTATGTTGCTGTAAGTTGCTTACCTATGTTGCTGTAAGTTGATGACCTGTGTTGATTTAAATTGCTTACATGCCTGGCTCGCTAGCGTAGTTGGCTAAACCGGATTGGGCGGTGACCGGGTGACGAACTCCTTGTGGTCCGGGTTCACGCTCGGGGATAGCCAGAAAAGCCACATTTCTCCCAGATTTACGGTATTTATCATGGAATCAAGGCTGAATGGTTGCGATATCCATAATACCGAGCCTAGGGGTTAACAACTCATGGCTTGTAGATACTAAAAAAAAAAATTGATTACATACCTTACTGTTGTCCTGCAGGTGGCAATTGTCTGACTGCAATGATAGCCACAATCTCCATGGAGCCAGAGAACCTGGGGGAATCCGTGTCAACCTGTCGCTTCGCCCAGCGGGTGGCACGCGTGGCCAATAATGCCAGGTGTGTTCGGCCTTCTATTGACCTTATAGAGTTTGGTTTTTTTTTTTTAAAACTCCTTGTTTTTCATTTTTTGGTTTTCTGATCATGTTGTAGAGTTTGTTTGAACTTATTCTTAAAGCCCATGCCGCTTGTGGCGTTGGTAGTCATGTGCATCCTCTAGGTCATGGAGGTGTAGATAGACTGGCCAGTTCTGCACCATTTGGTGCGAGTGAACAGTGCAGAGGCACAGATGATAATTACGGTCTGAGTTGAACGACACTGCAAGGAGTTACCAGGAAATCCTGCCGACGCTAAGTACTCAGGGAAAAGGCGAGACGGATATACAATCAGACATTTACTGGTGCCATCAGAATTCTTCTTCGCGTTCACCAGCTGTAAACTCCGGTGGAAAGTTCTGGTTGTTCGTCCACTTCTGGACTGCAGTCCTGTTCCAGAACTTAAGTGTTGCGTGTGCATCCCTTTTACAGATCTGACTCATTTGTATGCAGACTGTTGGTTCCCTGCCTCTCAGGCAGATGCACTCCGACTTTGAAGGAAGCTCCCAAATAGTCGACTCTTACGACATGCTTTTGGGTAGGCAGTGGGTTTATTGTTGTTTACTATGGCCCTGGAACCTACACGGGGACCATCATAATTAAAACCCTTTGCTTGTTGCTGAAGATGGGGACGGAGTGCTGGGATGTCAATTTTTATTTTAACATTCAACAACATTGGGATCAAGTAAATAGCGCAGCAGAACAGACAAAAAATCTGTATCTCTTTTTTCTGCATTCATCCGAAGATGTAACAGCGTTGTGCCCATCCGCAGCATGACTGAAATATTTGCAACTTTCGGCTGGCACATCCTTCTTCTTCTTCTTCTTCTTCTTTTTCTTCTTCTTCTTCTTCTTCTTCTTCTTCTTCTTCTTCTTCTTCTTCTTCTTCTTCTTCTTCTTCTTCTTCTTCTTCTTCTTCTTCTTCTTCTTCTTCTTCTTCTTCTTCTTCTTCTTCTTCTTCTTCTTCTTCTTCTTCTTCTTCTTCTTCTTCTTCTTCTTCTTCTTCTTCTTCTTCTTCTTCTTCTTCTTCTTCTTCTTCTTCTTTCTTCTTCTTCTTCTTCTTCTTCTTCTCTTCTTCTTCTTCTTCTTCTTCTTCTTCCTTCTCTCCTCTCTCCTCCTTCCTCCTTCTCTTCTTCTTCTTCTTCTTCTTCTTCTTCTTCTTCTTCTTCTCTTCTTATCTTCTTCTTCTTCTTCTTCTTCTTCTTCTTCTTCTTCTCTCTTCTTCTTCTCTTCTTCTTCTTCTTCTCTTCTTCTTCTTCTTTCGTTCGCTTGAAATAGATTATCTATTTCTTCAGTGTTGTCTCTAGAATGAACTTCACTGTCTTTTGTCATTCACTCAGCGAGCCGTAAAGTTTGACTTGCATCTTGTTTCTCTTGGCCACAAGTTTTGCCTTGATATGTTGTATTTGGGAAAGTCTTGGAGGACATGATCTGTTGTCTCTGGTGTCAATCCACATGTGTACATGGCTAATTGGCCGATTTTAAATTGTATGTACATGTGGCTGCACAGTCGATTGTGTCCTGCTCCAAGGCGTAGATTATTAACTTGCTCTGGTCTGTCCATAAAATGGTAATCGTCTTGTGTCGGTTTTGGTGGCTTTCTGACTGATTTGATTATTCTCTTTTTTTGTTGATAAGAGCTGGCACATCCAACTTCTGCAGTCATCTGTTAAACAGGTCTGCCTTCCCAAGCATCAGTGTCTGATTTCCCAGGCATCAGTATCTGCCTTCCCAGACATCAGTGTCTGCCTTCCCAGGCATCAGTATCTGCCTTCCCAGACATCAGTATCTGCCTTCCCAGGCATCAGTGTCTGCCTTCCCAGGCATCAGTGTCTGCCTTCCCAGGCATCAGTGTCTGCCTTCCCAGGCATCAGTGTCTGCCTTTCCAGGCATCAGTATCTGCCTTCCCAGACATCAGTGTCTGCCTTCCCAGGCATCAGTGTCTGCCTTCCCAGGCATCAGTGTCTGCCTTCCCAGGCATCAGTGTCTGCCTTCCCAGGCATCAGTGTCTGCCTTCCCAGACATCAGTATCTGCCTTCCCAGACATCAGTATCTGTCTTCCCAGACATCAGTGTCTGCCTTCCCAGGCATCAGTGTCTGCCTTCCCAGGCATAAGTGTCTGCCTTCCCAGGCATCAGTATCTGCCTTCCCAGACATCAGTGTCTGCCTTCCCAGGCATCAGTGTTTGCCTTCCCAGGCATCAGTGTCTGCCTTCCCAGGCATCAGTATCTGCCTTCCCAGACATCAGTGTCTGCCTTCCCAGGCATCAGTGTCTGCCCTTCCAGGCATCAGTGTCTGCCTTCCCAGGCATCAGTATCTGCCTTCCCAGGCACCAGTATCTGGAGAGTATCATTCAGCTCGGAGAGAGCACAGGGTCTGGAAAACTTTCTACCTGCAGGGACAACAAACTGGCAAACTTTTAATAGACTGCAAGTGGCTTAACTATGGAAACTTTGTTGGCTGCTGACGAAGGGAACGGAGCAAGTATGGGAATTCTCTGAGTGGAGTGATGTCAGTGATTGATTGATTCATTCTCTGATGGTGCCTATGTTTGTAGGAGAAATGAGGAAATTGATGACAAGGCTCTCATCTCAAGACTCCGGCAGAAGATTTCATGCATAAAACACGAATTAGTCAAATCTCAGGTATGTTCATCTGTGTGTAAATGTCTCTGTGTGTTTGTTATCCCTATCTGTGTTTGTCTGTGTGTGATTATGTGTCTCTGTTTGTTATGTCCCTCTGTGTTTGAATGTTTAATGTTGAATTAAGGATCGACATCACAGCACTCAGGACACTCCCATAAATGCTCAGTCCCCATCTTCAGCAGCAAGCGAAGAGTTCCAATTCTGATAGTACCTGTAGCCGTCTAATTGTATATCCGTCTCATCCTTCCCCTGATTGTTGAGCGTCAGCCAGACCCCCTGGTAACTCTCCATTCTCCTTAGACCATAACGATCTCTCTGCGCCTCTGCACTGTTCACTCGCTCCCAAACTTGTCATACATCAATTCACCACCAAATGGTGCAGAGCCAGCCAGTCTATCTGCCTGCTCATTTCCCAGTATACTAGCATGACCTGGAGAAAATATCCAAAGGATGCTAACTACCCGAAACCTCTGAGCTGATGCTTGCCACTCTGCACGAGGCATGCCAGTTTTCACCTTTGTCAACATGCTCTGTGTGTCGATTACAATCACGGCATGTGTGGACAGCTGATTCTCAAGCCAGCAGAAGGCAGCAGAGACAGCCTCCACTCCATTCTCGAACTAGACGTTATGATATCATATGCAAGGCTTTGCTGCACCAAGCGACATACATTTACCTTTGCTATGAAACCCCTTGCTCCCTCTGTGTTTTTATCTGTCTAATTGTATCTCTGTGTTTATTACGTCCCTTTGATTTTGTATGTGTGTGTGTGTGTATATGTGTGTGTATATGTGTGTGTGTGTGTAATTGTATTTGTATGTCTCTCTGTCTTTGTATGTGTGTGTAATTGTATTTGTATGTCTCCCTGTCTTTGTATGTGTGTGTAATTGTATTCGTATGTCTCCCTGTCTTTGTATGTGTGTGTAATTGTATTCGTATGTCTCTCTGTCTTTGTATGTGTGTGTAATTGTATTTGTATGTCTCCCTGTCTTTGTATGTGTGTGTAATTGTATTCGTATGTCTCTCTGTCTTTGTATGTGTGTGTAATTGTATTTGTATGTCTCCCTGTCTTTATATGTGTGTGTAATTGTATTCGTATGTCTCCCTGTCTTTATATGTGTGTGTAATTGTATTTGTATGTCTCCCTGTCTTTGTATGTGTGTGTAATTGTATTTGTATGTCTCCCTGTCTTTGTATGTGTGTGTAATTGTATTTGTATGTCTCCCTGTCTTTGTATGTGTGTGTAATTGTATTCGTATGTCTCTCTGTCTTTGTATGTGTGTGTAATTGTATTTGTATGTCTCCCTGTCTTTGTGTGTGTGTGTAATTGTATTTGTATGTCTCCCTGTCTTTGTATGTGTGTGTAATTGTATTCGTATGTCTCTCTGTCTTTGTATGTGTGTGTAATTGTATTTGTATGTCTCCCTGTCTTTGTATGTGTGTGTAATTGTATTTGTATGTCTCCCTGTCTTTATATGTGTGTGTAATTGTATTCGTATGTCTCCCTGTCTTTATATGTGTGTGTAATTGTATTTGTATGTCTCCCTGTTTTTGTATGTGTGTGTAATTGTATTTGTATGTCTCTCTGTCTTTGTATGTGTGTGTAATTGTATTTGTATGTCTCCCTGTCTTTGTATGTGTGTGTAATTGTATTCGTATGTCTCCCTGTCTTTATATGTGTGTGTAATTGTATTTGTATGTCTCTCTGTCTTTGTGTGTGTGTGACTGTCTCTTTCTTTCACCTTTCTGTTTGTGTCTGTGTCATTGTCTTTCTTTGTTTTTCTCTCTATGTCTTTCTGTCTGTCTGTCATTCTCCACCCCAACCCCCCCTCACCCCGATACTTTATCTGTCTATTTCTATTTTCTATTTCTATTTTCATCCTCTCTTTCTGTATATCCATATATTCACCCAAAGTTATTCTTGCTGATGTGGCAAGCAAAATTACAGTTTTCTTTTCTACTTAAAACAAATTCCCTGTCGGCTTGGTCTAAAATGGGTACCAGAAGTGTTATAGGAAGCAAAGGTAGCTGACTTGTTGACCACATAAACCATAGAGTGGCAGCTGAAATATACAAATATAGAAATAGCACCATTTACCTAGCTGTAGTGTACCATCTTCACAGTAGACTTCCAATCATGGGAGTTGATTCTGTACTTTTACTTATCCACTATTTTGCTGTTGTTTGTCCATCTTGATATGTCACTGACCAAATTAAGAATTTGGAAGCAACCGATATGTAGTTCCTGAAACAAATGTTACGAATAGCTTGGACAGCCAGAGTAACTAACAATGATTGTTTGATAGAAGGTAATGAAAGTAGATCTCTATATGCGATAATAAGAAAGAGACAAACACTGTTATTCGGCCACATGATGAGAATCAGACATTGGAGAACATCGTGATAACTGGAAAGATCTGTGGAAAAAATCTGAAGCACCCCCCCCACACACACACACACACTGAACTGGTTTCTGAACTGAACTCTTAACCTTGAGAGTGTAAGGCAGACTGCTCAACCACTCAACCGTGGAAAGCCACAGAGCACATATAGATGTTTACTTGTGAACGGAGAGAACGGAGAGCCCTATAACACATATAGATGTTGACTTGGGTAGAGGCGAAAAGGAGAGCCCTATAACACATATAGATGTTGACTTGGGTACAGGGGGAAAGGAGAGCCCTATAACATATAAATGTTGACTTGGGTACAGGGGTGGAGGAGAGCCCTTTAACATATAAATATTGACTTGGGTACAGGGGGAAAGAATAGCCCTATAACACATATAGATGTTGACTTGGGTAGAGGGGGAAAGGAGAGCCCTATAACATATAAATGTTGACTTGGGTACAGGGGGAAAGGAGAGCCCTATAACATATAAATGTTGACTTGGGTACAGGGGGAAAGGAGAGCCCTATAACATATAAATGTTGAGTTGGTTAGAGGGGAAAAGGAGAGCCCTATAACACATATAGATGTTGACTTGGTTAGAGGGGAAAAGGAGAGCCCTATAACACATATAGATGTTCACTTGATTAGAGGGGAAAAGGAGAGCCCTATAACACGTACAGATGTTGACTTGGTTAGAGGGGAAAAGGAGAGCCCTATAACACATAAGTTGTTGACTTGGTTAGAGGGAAAATTGAGAGCCCTATAACACATATAGATGTTGACTTGGTTAGAGGGGAAAAGAATAGCCCTATAACACATATAGATGTTGACTTGTGTACGGGGGGAAAGGAGAGCCCTATAACACATAGATGTTGACTTATGTACAGGAGGAAAGGAGAGCCCTATAACACATATAGATGTTGACTTATATACAGGGGAAAGGAGACCCCTATAACACATAGATGTTGACTTGTGTACAAGGGGAAAGGATAGCCCTATAACACATATATGTTGACTTTGATAGAGGGAAACATGAGACCCCTATAACACATATAGATGTTGACTTGGGTACAGGGGGAAAGGATAGCCCTATAACACATATATGTTGACTTTGGTAGAGGGGAAAACGAGACCCCTATAACACATATAGATGTTGACTTGGGTACAGGGGAAAGGAGAGTCCTATAACACTTAGATGTTGACTTGGGTACAGGGGGAAAGGATAGCCCTATAACACATATAGATGTTGACTTGGGTACAGGGGAAAGGATA